CAGCTTGTCGGTCAACTTCCGTTCTACGCTGATTTTCTCATCTTTTTCTCTGCTAAACATCGCTTCTAAGTCCAAATGTCGTTCCTCCAGTTTTTCAAAGTTCTCGATCAGATCGTTTCTCGAGACTCCAGAAAAACGGGACTCGTCTGTCTCACCTTTTAGATCTGAGCAGATTTCAAGTAAATCTTTATTGACGTTTTTCTGCTCCTGTAACAGCTTTTCTAAAGCCACCAGCTTTTGTTGCTGCTCAACCAAACCGTTCTCCATCTCTTTAGTTTGCTCCTTGTAAAGCGCACACTGGTTCTCTGCAGCAAGCCTCTTCTCCTTCTCCTGATTGAAACAAGTATTTCTGTTCTGCAGTTTTTCTTTCAAATGATCCACTTGTTTCAGAAGGTCACAGACGACAGATTTATCCTGGAGTTGATGTCTGACGCTCTCCTGCTGTTCAACCAACTCCTTGTGAGTAGCGGCGTTCTCAGCGGTCAGGTTTTCCACGACCACTCTGAGTTCTGAGTTGCTCTGAGTCAGATCGTTGATCTCCTTCTTGAAATTTCCGTTCATTGAACTCATTTGATCTTTAGTTTTTTTGAGTTCTTCCTCACAGGTCAGGCGGAGCTCGTTTTCTTTGTTCAAACGTTTCTCTAAATCTTCACAGATTAGATCCTTCTGTTTGAGCTGATGCTTAAAATCACTTCTTTCTTCCAGAAGTTTCCTCTCTCTGTACTTCATATCCGTTTTAATGTTGTCCAGCAACTCAGAGAGGTCACCGGTTCTTTTCTTAAGATCTTTGATCTCCTTCTTATAGTTCTCGTTGACGGTGACTTTATGCTGGGCGTTCTTCTGCTCCTGGACACTAACGAGTCTGAACCGACGTTCTTGATCTAAATCTGTTTGCAGATTTTTGATGAAAACGTCCTTTTCTGAAAGCTGCTCCTTTAAATTCTCCAGCTTGTCAAGAAACTTCTTTTCTGCATTGACTTTCTCATCTTTTTCTCTGCTAAACATCGCTTCTAAGTCCAAATGTCGTTGCTCCAGTTTTTCACACTGGTTCTCTGCAGCAAGCCTCTTCTCCTTCTCCTGATTGAAACAAGTATTTGTGTTCTGCAGTTTTTCTTTCAAATGATCCACTTGTTTCAAAAGGTCATCAATTTGCCTGCTTTTAAAATCAGCTAATTCCTGCTGAACCGTCTGAGGTCTAGGGACAACCGTCTCAGATCCAGAGAACTCCAGGTCAGCAGATGAAAGAGTCTCATTAGGAAGAGACTCTTTCTCCGCACCAAAGACCGATGTTTGTTCTGGCATCTCAGACTCCATCTCTTTAGTTGTAGACAGTAGATCTGACTTTTCGTCCTCACCATCAGAACTAAAGTCGATGACTAAATCATAATCCACTTCTACGTTGTTGACACATAAGTCGTACCAGGACATGTTTGTGCTGTTCGTCATTTCAGCCAAAGTAAGGGTTTGTTCTGCCTCACTTGGGCGTTTAAAATCAGCTAATTCCCGCTGAACCGTCTGAGGTCTAGGGACAACCGTCTCAGATCCAGAGAACTCCAGGTCAGCAGGTAATTTAGTCTCATACTGAAGAGACTCTTTCTCCGCATCAAAGACAGATGTTTGTTCTGTCATCTGAGACTTCATCTCTTTAGTTTTAAACAGTAGATCTGACTTTTCGTCCTCACCAAAGTCGATGACTAGATCATAATCCATGTTTACAGGGTTGACACAGAAGTCGTACCAGGAGATGTCTGTGCTGTTCATCATTTCAGCGAAAGTAAGGGGTTGTTGTGGCTTTCTTGGGCGTTTAAAAGCACCTAATTCCCGCTGAACCGTCTGAGGTCTAGGGACCATCGTCTCAGAATCAGAGTCGACCGTCTCAGATCCAGAGAACTCCAGTTCAGCAGGTAATTTAGTCTCATAGTGAAGAGACTCTATCTCAGCATCAAACACGCATGCATGTTCTGTTTCATCAAACATATCATTTTCCATCTCTTCAGTTTCTGAGAGTAGTTCTGAGTTTTCATCCCCACAGTCAGAAACAAAGTCCATGTCTGACTCATAATCCATTTCTCCTGGGTGTAGACGTGAGTCGTACCACGACACGTTTCTTTTGTTCACCATTTGAGCGACAAAAAGGGTTTGGTCAAACTTACTTGGGTGTCTGAAGACAGTGGTGTGTCGTCAACAGTAGCTCTGAAGAGACTGAAGTGGTGCTGCTGCTGCTTGTGGGCCTTTTATAGTCTCGGAATGTACCAAGTTAAACCCCTCCTTTATGATGTCACACACAGACTCTTCTATTGTGCTTGTTAGTGTTACTATGATTAGCATTAGTATTGTAATTATTGTTATTATTAATAATAATAATAGTAATTATATTAGTATTAATATTAATAAAAACACTTTAATTAATGGAATCTTCCAGATTAAAGGCCTCCTTTATGATGTCACACACAGACTGTTCTATTGTGTTTGTTATTGTTATTATTGTTATCATCATCATTATTATTATTAGTAGTAGTAGTACTGTTATTATTGTTATTAATAATAATAGTAATAATATTAGTAATTATTAATAAAAACACTTTAATTAATGGAATCTTCCAGATTAAAGGCCTCCTTTATGATGTCACACACAGACTGTTCTATTGTGTTTGTTATTGTTATTATTGTTATCATCATCATTATTATTATTAGTAGTAGTACTGTTATTATTGTTATTAATAATAATAGTAATAATATTAGTAATTATTAATAAAAACACTTTAATTAATGGAATCTTCCAGATAAAAGGCCTCCTTTATGATGTCACACACAGACTGTTCTATTGTGTTTGTTATTGTTATTATTGTTATCATCATCATTATTATTAGTAGTAGTAGTAGTACTGTTATTATTGTTATTAATAATAATAGTAATAATATTAGTAGTAATTATTAATAAAAACACTTTAATTAATGGAATCTTCCAGATAAAAGGCCTCCTTTATGATGTCACACACAGTCTGTTCTATTGTGTTTGTTATTATTATTGTTATCATCATCGTTATTATTATTAGTAGTAGTAGTACTGTTATTATTGTTATTAATAATAATAGTAATAATATTAGTAGTAATTATTAATAAAAACACTTTAATTAATGGAATCTTCCAGATAAAAGGCCTCCTTTATGATGTCACACACAGTCTGTTCTATTGTGTTTGTTATTATTATTGTTATCATCATCGTTATTATTATTATTATTAGTAGTACTGTTATTATTGTTATTAATAATAATAGTAATTATATTAGTAATTAATAAAAACAATTTAATTAATGGAATCTTCCAGATTAAATGCCTCCTTTATGATGTCACAGACTGTTCTATTGTGTTTGTTATTGTTATTATTGTTATCATCATCGTTATTATTATTATTAGTAGTAGTACTGTTATTATTGTTATTAATAATAATAGTAATAATATTAGTAATTAATAAAAACAATTTAATTAATGGAATCTTCCAGATAAAATGCCTCCTTTATGATGTCACAGACTGTTCTATTGTGTTTGTTATTGTTATTATTGTTATCATCATCATTATTATTATTAGTAGTAGTAGTACTGTTATTATTGTTATTAATAATAATAGTAATAATATTAGTAATTATTAATAAAAACACTTTAATTAATGGAATCTTCCAGATAAAAGGCCTCCTTTATGATGTCACACACAGACTGTTCTATTGTGTTTGTTATTGTTATTATTGTTATCATCATCATTATTATTATTAGTAGTAGTAGTACTGTTATTATTGTTATTAATAATAATAGTAATAATATTAGTAGTAATTATTAATAAAAACACTTTAATTAATGGAATCTTCCAGATAAAAGGCCTCCTTTATGATGTCACACACAGTCTGTTCTATTGTGTTTGTTATTATTATTGTTATCATCATCGTTATTATTATTAGTAGTAGTAGTACTGTTATTATTGTTATTAATAATAATAGTAATAATATTAGTAATTAATAAAAACAATTTAATTAATGGAATCTTCCAGATAAAAGGCCTCCTTTATGATGCCACACACAGTCTGTTCTATTGTTTGTTATTGTTATTATTGTTATCATCATCATTATTATTATTAGTAGTAGTAGTACTGTTATTATTGTTATTAATAATAATAGTAATAATATTAGTAATTATTAATAAAAACACTTTAATTAATGGAATCTTCCAGATAAAAGGCCTCCTTTATGATGTCACACACAGACTGTTCTATTGTGTTTGTTATTGTTATTATTGTTATCATCATCATTATTATTATTAGTAGTAGTAGTACTGTTATTATTGTTATTAATAATAATAGTAATAATATTAGTAGTAATTATTAATAAAAACACTTTAATTAATGGAATCTTCCAGATAAAAGGCCTCCTTTATGATGTCACACACAGTCTGTTCTATTGTGTTTGTTATTATTATTGTTATCATCATCGTTATTATTATTATTATTAGTAGTACTGTTATTATTGTTATTAATAATAATAGTAATAATATTAGTAATTAATAAAAACAATTTAATTAATGGAATCTTCCAGATTAAATGCCTCCTTTATGATGTCACAGACTGTTCTATTGTGTTTGTTATTGTTATTATTGTTATCATCATCGTTATTATTATTATTAGTAGTAGTACTGTTATTATTGTTATTAATAATAATAGTAATAATATTAGTAATTAATAAAAACAATTTAATTAATGGAATCTTCCAGATTAAATGCCTCCTTTATGATGTCACAGACTGTTCTATTGTGTTTGTTATTGTTATTATTGTTATCATCATTGTTATTATTAGTAGTAGTAGCTTAGTAGTAAGCTAAGCCACAGACTGAAAGTTGGAAAAAACTTACACACACATCCCACCCCTCTCACATCTGTTCTCAGTGTGGGGGTGAAAGACAGCACGCACGCACACGCGCACGCACACACGCACACACACACACGCACACATTCCACAAGTGGTTTGATCCCAGGAGCCAGACAAAGGGAGTCAGCCATTTTGGGTTTTCAACTACCTCCATCTTGTTACCCCACCTATCAGATCATTATTTCACATTATCATTATTATTTAATAATTACTTGTTACTTGTTTGATAAAATAAGTTGGTTGATATTAATTAGCTAACACTTTGCAAGGAGCTGAAGTGGGTATATTAGTTAATAAATGTTATTGCCAACTAAGCATTTGTCTCAAGTGAATTGGTTTGTGTGATATGAATTCATGACTGCTGCTCGTAAACGAATTTTACTAACTTTAAGACAGACTGATAAGAGGTTTTGGATCCATTGTTAAAAAGGGTGGTGCCCCGAGGGTATCTCCGGATATCCTAATTACGTAATAAAATCGGTAAATATTTCCATATTTATGAATTTTATTGAAGAATCCAAAAAGTAAGTAAAAGCTTACAAATTATTCATTGACCAATATTCACAACACTTGTAACTCACATAATGTAATGTATTTGTTAAAAGGCCCCTGTGATAGAGTCTATGTTGGTAAAACAACAAGGCCACTCAAACAGAGGATCAGTGAACATAAGAGTTCAATTGGAAGAAAAGACTTGACTTATCCAGTAGCATGCCATTTCAATGACTCTTCACAACCTATATGCCTTCACTCAGATTCCAGGGGATTGAACATATTTCTTACATAGAGGAGGTGATATAGATAAAAAAAAACTTTGCCAAAGGGAACTGTTCTGGACCTACACGTTGAAAACACTTCAACCACTAGGTTTAAATGAGGATTTTGAAATGTCTGTGTTTCTTCTAACCCTCCCACTGTCTTCATGGGCGACCCCGTGAGGAAAGTTGGCCATGGAGCAGGATTGATGGTTTGTCCCTTGTGGTCCACGTGGCAGGGGTGAGGTGGTGCTCACTCATCACCCCTGCCACAAGTTGGTTTTAACCAGACGTTAGCCTGTTGCCTCTTACTAACCTCTGCTCTTCCTCGCAGAAGGTTCCTGATCTCCAGCTGTTACCTCTTCAGGCATCCGTCAAACAGTTTAATAAACTGTTTTTAGCTCATTTGTCTCCTGAGTTTCTCTGCATGAAGGTCAGGTTGTTGCAAAAATCATGACATTAGCAATTGCACCACTCTGTTAAACAGCTGATATTAATTTCAAGTGTATCTTTGAAAATACATTGAATGTCAAAGTGAGTGAAAGGCATCCATTCAGCTTTCAGTGTCTAACGCAGGATTTTATGGACAGGCACCAAAACAGGAAATTTATAAATTGAGATTTATTTACTAAATCAGGTAAACCAAAATAAAATACTAATGTTTAAAGTCCAGAGGAGGGAGGAAGGCTTTATAGCAGCATCCATATAGCTGGTATCCAGCACGTTTTGGTTGTTTCCCTGCTCGAGCACACTTGAATCAGGGGTTGAATTACCTGTGCAGCAGCTCTGCAGAAGCCTGTTAATTACCTGCTGACTGAAATCAGGTGTGTTGAAACAGAGTTAAAACTAAAACGTGCTGGATGCCGGCCCTCCAGGCCCAGAAGTAAATACCCCTGCTTTATAGGCGCAGAGAACTCCCATCAGGATCTTGGAGACGGCACAAGGAGATGACGACATGAGTGTGCCCTCCCAGATCACACCAACACCACCTGACCACACGGAGGCGTGTGTAAGAGAAAAACTGGTCATGTATGAGTTCTAAACAAAAAGTATGAACAAAATCAATTTTACAGTTGTTTAACCTGCTGAGCATCACCTCCCCAAAGAGCAGCACAAAGGTGCAACTGGCTCAGAACCAGGGTGCTCTGTTATGCAGGTGGTCACCTCCTCCTGCTGACACCCGAGGATTACCTACAACAAAGGGAAAACTGATATCAATAAGGAATTAATTAAATCAGAGCTAAGAGTTTAATTTAAGTGTGATGTTTGAGATTGTGGGAAATAAATGTGGACATTATGATTTTCTCATTGTGGGGTCAGTACCTTGGGCGTTTCTCTGCAGCAACATTTTGTCTGGCTGACAATGAAGTAGAAAAGTCACGAGTTGAGGCAGAGTTAGACTACATTACTCCAGCTAAGCTACATGTAGCTAAACTAGACACTAGTCACCAGACTATAGTTACTATAGATTTTATTAGATTTAATGAAGGCATCAGCGGTGAGAGAAATTGGTGTGTGTTTATGTGTGCATTAGTTGTGACAGAAAAAGAAGAGGGCTCTAATTATTTCGATGCCAAACAAGCTTGTAAAATAAAAATGCTTGTGGTGCATTACCTAGATCAGTGCTTCCCAACTATCTCTAACCAGTACCTTACAAAATATATCATTTTGTTTTATCCATTGTTTACATTTTGTGTCCCACTTCCTCAAGCGCTTATGTGATCTGTTTCACTTCAGAGATGTAAAAGTGGTATCAAATGTACTGTTCATACAAACTTAAGTAATAAAAGCATCAGAGATGGATCTGATTTAGGGTGACAGAAAGCACATTGAATCTGATTTGTCCTGTTCTGACAAACAAATGCCAGAGCTGTACACTGGTAAGAAATTTATTATCAAACACACTCACTTAGATAATTATTCAGTCAGAGTTACATCATAAAATCCATTCGTTTCACTGAAAAAGGAGCAGGCAGAACTATGAACTTGCTTAGCCCGTCCAAGTAACATGGAATAAAAAATACATGTATCTGTAAGTAAATGTAGTTTAAATGTCTTCCCATAATAGCTCATGTAGATTCTGTCTGGGTTATACCATAAAAATCCTGCAGTTCCACTAAAAGAGTATTTACCTGCAAAACAGCCTGTTAGCTCAGCGTTCTGCTGCTTCCTCTGTAGCGAGTTAGCTGTACACAGGTTAGCTCCAGTAGCTGCAAAGTCTCTGGTGTTCCAGATTCCTGAAAAATTAGCTAACTTATTAACATAAACTGCAATAATTAATTCCATGAAACCAGTGATGAATATATTAAGATGAGTTGCTGCTAAGCAAGCCATTGTGCTAGCCTTGAGGCTAGCACAATGGCTTGCTTAGCAGCTAGCTAGTGAGCTAACGTCTGGTTAAAATCAACTTAAAAAGTGGCTTAACTTACAGATTAACTAGGAAAAGATCAAATATATTATCAATGCTCACTTTAGATCCTCAGTAGACACCACAGACAGCAGAAATAACCTGTTTGGGGCTCAAAATTCATGTTGTTGACTGAGGTGTGGGAAAAAAAGTATTGGAAGCTACATCACTTCCAGGTCACTGAACTGTCACTCTAGAGCAGGCAAGAGCAGGGGTGTCAAACTCAAATTCACACGGGGCCGAAATGAAACTCTGGGACGGAGTCGAGGGCCAAACTTAATATTTTTTGAAAAAGTGACGGCAAATTTGCACATTTTCTTTATCAACATATATGCAATTTTGAACCTTTAAATTTGGAAACAAACATATTTCTGCATTAACACTGAATGTGGAATAACCAAATGACACACGAGCAAGTCAGTTTTAAATAAAAGGCATCAGTAGTATTCATTACTTGTGGTATAATCAGCATTTTATAAATCTATTCAGGATTTATGTTTTCTTGTTTATTCATTTTTCTTATTTTTTATTCTCCTTTTTTTCTCCTGTAATACGTGTCATCGCTGCTGTGACGTCTAGCTTTCCCCACTGAGGAACAATAAAGGGATTTTCTATTCTATTCATCTATCTGCAGCCTTTCCTGTTCCTTTTTTACTGTAGGTTAAATCTTTTCTCACGGGCCAACAACAAAATAAAAATATCATTTAATCTTAAATGAAAATGCAACATCTCACCTGTTAACTTTCATGTTTTGGAGCAGAAAAAGAGCATAAAACCAACATATTTAAAGCTCAGTTTGCTCCACTGGTTTACTGTGATGCTCACCTGTTCCAGCCAGATACCTGCATCATGGAGTTGATCTGAGCTGAGGAGGAGACTCCTGTTGTTTTGTTCATCTTCATCATAATAATGACAACATTAGATGACAACAGGTGCTCACATAGGTTTGTGCTGATGAACATGTCTGAGCAGCTTGACCACGTTGTTGTGTGTCGGGGAGGAAACACGACCACAGAGCCGTGCTGGTTTGAGCGTGTCGCTGCTCGCTGGAGTTATATCAGCTCTGTCTGGACGTTAGTTTGAAAACTTTCTCTTTCAGTCGTGAACACATTACTGAGCGGCTAGAATCTCCGTTTCTGGGCTTCAACGTCAGGAAGCAGCTGAGTAAACTCGGCGCTGAGTGAGAGGAGTGTAGTTTGTCCGAGACAGCGGAGCTGCAGACACCCAACTACCTCTGACTGCCTCGGCGCTGAAAAAACACAAAGGAGGGGGCGCGTCTGCTCCGCGCTGGCGCCGCAAAGCATCATGGGAGTTGTAGTCTTTGCGGTAAAATCGGCCAGCGGGCCAGTTTTAATATATTTTTGATATTTATCTCGCGGGCCACATAAAAATGCTCGGCCCGCGGGCCTTGACTCTGACATATGTGCTCTAGAGAAACCACTGTCCTATGGGAGAGGACTTCTCAGAAGTCCCACCCACATGAAAGGGTTGTGTCAGAATTGCAACCAAACCTCAGGGATTGCAAAGGAGAAAGCCAGACAGTGTAAGTGCAAATCTGGTAGTGAGAGCAAAGCTGTGAGCAGCGAGAATGAAACAAAGGAAACTGATAACAAAAACACATAGAGGCAAACAGAAAAAGGAAACATATTTTGTTACTCACTTGAAGAAGTTCATTCAGATAGTAAGTTTTTCTTTTGAAACAATTTTTTTTCTCTCAATGTCTTAATATTTGTTTGATCTCCAAAGTGTTTTTCTTGATCTCATTGGCACAAATCTAATCCCATAGTTAGGAAACGCCTGGAGCTGACGCTGCTTGGTCATCCGCTCTTTGACCCACATGGAGATGTTGTTGAGTGTCTGAGATGCTCCAGCGTTGTCCATCCCAGACGGCTCTTTGACTGTGGGTTCTGAAGACGTGGACATAACAGTGAGAGCTCGTGGTTCTGCTCTGCTGAGGTCGAGTCGCCATGGAGGACAGACTTTATAGTCAGGTGCTGAATTCCAAACATGACAGAGGCTAAATCTGCCAAAGGATGTTTGAAAATGAAACTGCTACAAAACACCTGAGTGTCAGATCATTCACCTTACTCTCATCCTCTGTAGATCAAAGAGTTACTAAGTTACGAGATTGCACATTTGCTTTGAAGCTTTTGCTTGAGTAAAAAGAAAAATATCAACTTTGTGGATCTTCCTTAGAGCTTTCACACACACACACACACACACACACACACACACACACACACACACACACACACACACACACACACACACACACACACACACACACACACACACACACACACACACACACACACACACACACACACACACACACACACACACACACACACAGAGAGAGAGAAACCTCAGATCTGTGTATTTTCACTTTAATCCACTTGGTGGCAGCATAGCTCTGCTGTCCACTAATACTTCTTCATGGCCCCATTTGTTACTCTTTAACCTAAGCTCCCTGTTACTGACAGACATTCATTTGTTCCTTTTTCACATTGATCGATTATGTACAAGAATGGAAAATCACTTCCTAAGTATTAGTCCAGGAAACATGATTCACTTCTTAAAGCTCCAGAAGTCAAGAAAGAAAGGAAGGTAGAGAGAATGTTCCACCTGCTTCCCGTTCCTCCTCACACTTGGGAGGCCATAGCTTTGTAATTATTTAAACCACTTTGAAACACTACAGAGCCTAGCTGGTGATCAGCATGAGGAGGTGGAGCCTAGCTGGTGATCAGCATGAGGAGGTGGAGCCTAGCTGGTGATCAGCATGAGGAGGTGGAGCCTAGCTGGTGATCAGCATGTGGAGGTGGAGCCTAGCTGGTGATCAGCACGAGGAGGTGGAGCCTAGCTGGTGATCAGCATGAGGAGGTGGAGCCTAGCTGGTGATCAGCACGAGGAGGTGGAGCCTAGCTGGTGATCAGCATGAGGAGGTGGAGCCAAGCTGGTGATCAGCATGTGGAGGTGGAGCCTAGCTGGTGATCAGCACGAGGAGGTGGAGCCTAGCTGGTGATCAGCATGTGGAGGTGGAGCCTAGCTGGTGATCAGCATGAGGAGGTGGAGCCAAGCTGGTGATCAGCACGAGGAGGTGGAGCCTAGCTGGTGATCAGCATGTGGAGGTGGAGCGTAGCTGGTGATCAGCACGTGGAGGTGGAGCCTAGCTGGTGATCAGCACGAGGAGGTGGAGCCTAGCTGGTGATCAGCATGTGGAGGTGGAGCCTAGCTGGTGATCAGCACGAGGAGGTGGAGCCTAGCTGGTGATCAGCATGTGGAGGTGGAGCCTAGCTGGTGATCAGCATGAGGAGGTGGAGCCTAGCTGGTGATCAGCATGTGGAGGTGGAGCCTAGCTGGTGATCAGCACGAGGAGGTGGAGCCTAGCTGGTGATCAGCAGGAGGAGGTGGAGCGTAGCTGGTGATCAGCACGAGGAGGTGGAGCCTAGCTGGTGATCAGCAGGAGGAGGTGGAGCGTAGCTGGTGATCAGCACGAGGAGGTGGAGCCTAGCCAGTGATCAGCATGTGGAGGTGGAGCCTAGCTGGTGATCAGCAGGAGGAGGTGGAGCCTAGCTGGTGATCAGCACGAGGAGGTGGAGCCTAGCCGGTGATCAGCATGAGGAGGTGGAGCCTAGCTGGTGATCAGCACGAGGAGGTGGAGCCTAGCTGGTGATCAGCACGAGGAGGTGGAGCCTAGCTGGTGATCAGCAGGAGGAGGTGGAGCGTAGCCGGTGATCAGCATGTGGAGGTGGAGCCTAGCCGGTGATCAGCATGTGGAGGTGGAGCCTAGCTGGTGATCAGCATGTGGAGGTGGAGTGTAGCTGGTGATCAGCATGTGGAGGTGGAGCCTAGCTGGTGATCAGCATGAGGAGGTGGAGCCTAGCTGGTGATCAGCACGAGGAGGTGGAGCCTAGCTGGTGATCAGCACGAGGAGGTGGAGCCTAGCTGGTGATCAGCAGGAGGAGGTGGAGCGTAGCCGGTGATCAGCATGTGGAGGTGGAGCCTAGCCGGTGATCAGCATGTGGAGGTGGAGCCTAGCCGGTGATCAGCATGTGGAGGTGGAGCCTAGCTGGTGATCAGCACGAGGAGGTGGAGCGTAGCTGGTGATCAGCAGGAGGAGTGGATTCTAAGTGCTGAATCTTGGGCCATACAGAGTGCCACCTCTCTTGAGTCCTCATTGTGTGGTATGAAGTAGTCCTTTGGGACAGCCCGGGCTTTGGGAGCCTGTCTGGGACGAAGCGTTCCAGTGTTTAGGACCAGCTGCTGAAATAAAATCCTAAAATTATTCATATTAAGTCCAAACAGTTAGCGTTGTTGTTTATTCTGTAGATGTATAATTCTTACAAGTTCTACTGTTTAGTAAAGGTAACACACACGCACACACACACACACACACACACACGCACGCGCACACAGCCCCCCCCCAACACCAAAGTCATCATTACGTTTGCTGATGATACTGTTGGTGGGCCTAATCAGCCAGGGGAATGAGTCAGCGTAGAGGGAAGAAGTGCAGCAGCTGGTGGACTGGTGTCCAGCTAGCAACCTGACCCTGAACACCCACAAAACCAAATAAATCTTCAGTGACCCAAGAAGGAAAAAGGTGCAGCACCAGTCACTCACAATAAATGGAGAACAGGTGGAGAGAGTGTCACAGTTAAAGTTCCTGGTGACAAACCTATCAGAGGACCTCACATGGACACACTCACCAAATGTTTGATAAAGAAGGCACGACAACGGCTGTACTGCTGAGGGCATCAGGAAGATCAGCGATAGAGCGTGTCCTGACCAACAGCATCCTGGTGTGGTACAGCAGCAGCTCTGCAGCTGACAGGGAGGCCCTGCACAGGGTAATCACAACTGCAGAGAAAACAACAAACACACACCTGCCTGCCCTGGATGACACCTTCACCCCTCGCTGCCTTCGACAAACCACAGACATCCTAAAGGACCCAACCCACCCTGCTAACCATCACTTCAAAGTTCTTCTGTCTGGTAAACGACACCAGGCAACAACAACACGCACCACCAGGCTGTTAAACAGCTGTTGTGCAAGAGCATCACTGAACTGGATGTTGCTGCTAGGAGGTCCCACTAACAGTGGTTCTACCACTAGTGCACCACAGCACCTTCACATTTAGCTCGTTCATCCTGATACCTCAACATGTGACTGTCTACATTCATAT